TGAGCTAAATCTTGCTGCTACTCAATTGATTACGTGTTTCAGTCCGCCTAATCAATAGTTGGGTAACAACATTAAATTATAGTGTTTGATGATTGAGAATACATAATATTTAGTATTAGATTAGGTGACACAAAGTCTAGATCTTAATCCAATTGAGAATTTGTAAAACTATGTAGATTATCAAATCTAAAGAAGAAAGCCTCTACCTAAATCTAAATAGAAGTTGATTAGTACAATACAAAAGAAATAGAGAAAAATTAGCATTAAAATAATTTATAGCTTAATTTTAAGTTTAACTAATCATATTAAAGTAGTAATTAAAACTAAAGGCAGGCATACCAAATATTAGTTTTGGTAGTTTAAAATTTTTAAATAATAAATTTTGTGTTTAATATGTTAATTTTTTATTTTTTTTAAAAAAAATTCAATAAAAAAATTTTTTATATATACATAAAATTTTGAATTTTACATATAAATTCTAAAAATTTGTTAATTTATAGTAAGCTAGTATATAATATCATTTCAATAACACATTTGAAGGATTTAATATGTAAACTTTCAGTAACATATTAGAAAATTCTAATCAATCTTAACAATTAATTTTAACAGTATTATTAAAATATAATAGGTTAATTTAATTATTATTAATTATTATAAAAGTTAACTAATGTATCATTTTAAATATAATACCTTCCTGTTATTTTTAAAGGTAAAAATGTATTATACTTTAAATACAAAATATTAAAGTTTTAATTTTTTTTTAAAAAAAAATGTATTATATCTGAAAATATAATACTTAAATAAAATATTTTATTTAGATATAAAATTTGATTTATTAGATTTATTTAATATATATATAAAATTCAAATATAAAAAAAAATTATAAAAAAAACTAATTTCAAACATTTTTATAATTTTGTAATTCTTCATTATATTTGTTAAATTCTAAATTATCTAGTAATAAATCATTTTCAAATTCATTATCTAATTCAATAATTTTTACTTCATTTTTATAATAAATATTATTTTCTTCATTATTTTTTCTTCTATTTTATTCAGATAAAGAATAATAATCAAATAATAAATGATTATTACTTTTATCTCTAGCTATTGATATTCCATTTCATTTGTAAATTAAAATAGTATCAACATTATTTCATGATTCCATAACCAATTTAGCAATTATAAAACAAAATAGTTTTTTAATATACCTTGCTGGTGTATTTCTAAAGCTATCCAATATTGATAGTATTGCCTTAATTTAAATTTAAAACTTTTATTAATAGAATATCTAATAGTTGAAGTTTATTAATTAAACTACCTAGAATTACTATAATGCATAATATCTATAGTCATCAAAAATTTAGTGTAAATTCTAAATGTATCTAGTTTATTATTTTATATATTATTAAAAAATAAGCTGATTTTTATATATATTAGGTTGTGATATTTCAGAAAATTTGCTTATAATTTGAATTAAATTATAATTTAAAAAGTTATTGGAATTTTAAAATAGGATACATTACTAATAATTGGCCAAATTTTGGACTAACTTTGCAGTGGTATTTACATAGATATGTAACTATTCAACCAATAAAAATGCGCGATTTTTATCATGTGAAAAGTAATTTCTTTATGCAATTACACTGAAATTTTATAAAATACTGTATGTTGTTATATAAATTGAACAATAAAATCTGTATATATGATTTATATTAAAACATTATTCAAAAGCATTTAGTTGCTATTTTATTTTATGTTTAAATAAAAAAATTCCACCTCTTTCTAAACAAAAAAGGAAATCAAAAGACCAGCTACACACAAAAATGGCAAATACTATACTAAAAGAACATGATATACAAGCACAGATAAGTATAATTTACTGGATATCTCAATGTCAGTTAATGATAATTGTGTAAATGTAAAAGATTTCTAAACTGAAAGAAGTGACGCAGTTACTGCAGCTCACGAAAATAGTGACAGTGTTAATGAATATATTGATCTTGATTTTGAATTTCTTAATGAAGAATAGGGTGATGACAAAGATAGTGATAGGAATACAGTCAACTTTTTCTATAGTGAATTTTGATATAACAAATTTCACAATATACAGTATAGTACAGATTTTAAATATAGAAAAACCTTTTTTTTTGTTTTAACGATGTGGTACTGTCAGCATATTTTATTAATTTATACAAAAAACAATACAAAGAAAGTAAAATCAAAAACTAAATTTAAATAGCCAACTACCCCTCGTAACTACTTTTAAAGTCTGTTTGAGTTGACCGAGCATCGCCACTCCCCTCTAACAGACCTACTATACATATGCATAATGATTACAGTCATCAACAAGGGATAAAAATAACCTATGGTCAATACTACCTCGTTATCTTCTTTCTAAAATAAATTCCCGAAAACTAAACAAAAAAGTAATCCTTCAACTAATGGCGACATATTTTCCAAAAAAGTAACTATGCAACCTGACCATCTATGCTAAAAAATTTACAAAAAGAAGTAACAAAAATATGACTCTATTAAGTACCTGGCACAGGTGCGCCCATATCACTAAGTTCCAATAAAGGCTCTTCGGACTATCGCTTCCAATGCTAAGATGTCTATCAATTTAGATTACAGCCGACCTCCAGTATAGGATGAGGCCCAAATCACACAGTCGGTCAAGTCCGAAAAATACTGCGTGGGATTCCGCAGTCTTCGACGTCAGAGATCTGCAAAAAAAGAGTGTTACTATTTGGGAAGGAAATGAAATGTCATCACGTGGATTTGTGTATCCAAAGTATGTTGATCATGATCATCGGTTGGGATACCCCTTGATGTCTACTTTATAGGCAAATAATTTTGAAAATGAAAAAACGAGAAAAAATATGCCGTAGAGAAGTGAAGAAAAAATATTTTAACAAAAAACAACACAGTTTAGACTTCCACAGCAATTTTTATGTGGATAGGGGTTAGGAAAACAAAAAGAGGAAAATTTTTGAAAAGAGGGGTTTTTTATTTTGTTCGCAGGCTAAGCCGCGGCTGCCTTTGAATAGACACTTTTTTAAAGTAAAAATTCTTGGATAAAATTCAACAAGGGAGAAAGAGTTTTTTATAGAAAAAACCTTTTTATACCAAATTTATTAAACTAAAATTCATATTACGTTTAACAAATTTAAGTGTGTGAACACACATTATATAAATGCCTCTTTGTATAACGCATTTATTTATAATGAAGATTTTTTTAATACAACGAAGATTTACAAAATTAATTTTAATAGAAAAGATTATGAAATTTTGTAATTTTTTGTATCTTAATAAAGTTAACAAAAGTGCTTTGTGTAATGTTTTGCAATTTTTTTTATAATGTTTTTTTATTGCAATTTTTTTTTCATATTTTTTTAACATAAAGTAATAAATCTTTAAAAAAAAATAAAAGTCTCTAACTGCTGCAAAAAAAAAGAGATTTGTTTAAAAAAAACTTCATTCCTGTTATTAAAACAAAAAGACCTAGCAAACGAATATGAAGTTAGTGGGGGTATAATTAGTGACATTTTAAAAGAAAAGGACTGTTGGCTTGCTGTAGACCCTGAATCATATAAAGCTAGGTTAAAACGTGAAAAAAAATAACCTTTTCTTTTATTGAAGAAGCTTTAACTCTTTAGGTAGAAAATGCGCTCCAAGCTGATCTCATTATAACCGATAATATTCTTTTGACAAAGGCTTTAGGGTTTGCTTTTTTGTGTGATGAGGATAAATTTAAAGGTTCTAGTGAATGGGTAGACAATTTCAAGAAATGGCATAAGTTTGCTTTTTTGTGTGATGAGGATAAATTTAAAGGTTCTAGTGAATGGGTAGACAATTTCAAGAAATGGCATAAGTTTGCTTTTTTGTGTGATGAGGATAAATTTAAAGGTTCTAGTGAATGGGTAAACAATTTCAAGAAATGGCATAAGTTTGCTTTTTTGTGTGATGAGGATAAATTTAAAGGTTCTAGTGAATGGGTAGACAATTTCAAGAAATGGCATAACTTATGGTAATATAATTTACATGGTGAAGCTGCAAGTGTGCCACTTAATGATCTCGATGTAATACGTAATAAAATTCGTAGTGTTCTTAAGAATTATGACCCTAATGACGTCTTTAATTGTGATGAAACAGATATATTTTGGAAGATAAAACCCAGTCACACAATATCAAATGGCTAAGTATCTGGAACTAAGCAATCAAAGGATCGTGTAATTGTCCTACTTATATGTAATGCAACTAGGAATAAAAAGTTAGTTCCTCTTTTCATACACAAGTATGAAAATCCTTAGATTCTGAAAAATATTGATAAGAAGACCTTTCCAGTTGAATATTACTGGAATAAAAAAGTTGGATGCAAGTATCAATTTGAAATGAATATATTAAGAAACTTAATA